TCTGGAAACCAGGTAAACATCACTTATAGTCAAGTTCAGACTCTCAAGATACACAGTTCCAATTCCGGTCGCTTCCAACTCCTGACCGTTGGCCTGTTTCACAGCGAAGCTTTGCTTCCTCAACGTCGAAAACAGTTGTCGGTGCGGGCACATATGAACCGTCGCGCCCGTGTCAATTATAAAGGCGTTCCCTACATCTGGCGTGGTTTCTTTCGCCATCATAGCCTTTGCAGGTTTCACCTGGCACTTGGTACGGCTTTTGCCTGACGCCTCAGGCTTCGTAGAGCTGCTCTTTGCTCCTCTTGACTGTCGCGGCTTCTTACAGTTTCGCTGTAGATGCCCAGTCTGTCCACAATTGTAGCATCGGACAGCACTCAATGCTACTCCATGCTCTCCAGTAGATTCAGCAGTGGGAAGATTTGAACTCTGTTCTACCCTCCCCCTGTCCTTCACTTCCAGTGCAGCAAGTCTGTCGTGTTCATTCAGGACCACAGCACAAACTCTTTCCGCGGTTAGCTGCGCGGCCGGTAGGGAACCAAGCTGACTGGCAACAACCTTGTAGGTGCGATTAAGGCTGTTTATCATCATGAAGCAAAACACTTCCTCCTGAAGACGGAAATTGTGTTCCACCATCTGTTGACGCAGAAACTTCATTTCTGTCAGGTGCGCTTGAACATCTCCATCAGGCGCAAGTCTCAGATTCGTCAACTTCTCAAAATACAGCAACGCTGAAGAACCAGCATCTCTCTGATGCGTTGTACGCAGCGTGTCCCAAACCTCTTTCGCATTTTCTAAATTCTGGATATGCACAAGCTGCTGATCTGAGACACACAGAATTATTGCAGTCCTGGCCCTCACGTTCTGTGATTCCCAACCTCTGGTTGGTGCTGCAGGGATGGGGTTTTCAATCACATCAAAAAGCCTCTGATTCTGCAGCAGGGCCTTCATCTTAACAGACCAAGATGAATAATTGTCATTATTTAGGGGAGGTGGGTAAGGCAAACCTCCTGCCTTCTTGGCATCCATCTTGAAGCCAAGCCTCCAGCTCACACTGTCAAGCAAAACTGTAAAATCCAACAGTTGTTTTGTTCCTTTCTCAGGCAGGCAAACTGCAAGCTGTTTATGCTTTTAGCACCTGGCAGCTTGACGCTAGCTGCTATGGAAAGTCCCTTCCAAGTGTAGCCAAAACATTCTGGTTTTGTTTCGCTTTCCCAGGCTCAACACTCACAGTCCAGCCCCTTTTGCCAGTAACTTTCCAACTTTCCGTTACTTAGCAACAATGCATTTCAATAGGACAGTCTTATCTTAACCACAAGAATTTGTGGAATGTAGGCCTCTTCTCCCGGAGCTTTTGTTTTTCCAAAACGCAGCTCCACGCAGCTCTGTGAACCAGGGAATTAATCAACCTGCGTTCACACTTTTAGCCCGAAATGTGCAGCATACCTTGAACTTTGTTGCTCTGGAAAACACCTCTTCTATCCACCAGCTGTCTGTTGAGCCTCTGGCTTCTCTCAGACGCTTGCCTTCTCCTTGGAGCAGAGGAGGACATTCCACCAGCTCTCATGCAGAGGTCGATGGATCGAAACCATCCGAAGGCTGCCAGATGTTAGTATCTTGGCTCACAGGCAGAGGTACCTGGCCTCCCCGAGGCAAATTGAGCGAGATACTGTTGCTTACCATCCGTCGGGACCGGGCAGGCATGTCAAACCCGGCGTTCTTCTCTTAGTTGTGAGCACACACCTCTGCTTTCCTCTTCTC